AAAGAAAGCTGCTGAGTCCAGCATTGTATTAAGGCTGTCCCCAAATGGAGGCCTACTAAAGAGCCCAGTTTGTGGAGCTGTGAAGTTGAAGCCTAGATTGCCTTGGAGACTCCAAGATGTTGGAGATGCAAGACTATGGGATTAAGGAGAGCTGCTAACAGGGAGTGTAACCAGCCCAAGAGAAAGAAGTGTGTTGCAGTCAACAAAGCTGAATGGAGTTGAGACCTGAAGAGTAGCTTGACATGAAGATGCAGAGTTTGGAGTTTGCCCAGCTGGCGATTGGTCTTGCTTTGGGTCAGTTTTTACTCACTATGCTTCCTTCCCTAACATTCTGGAAAGGTAATGTATGTCCTATGCCATTATATGTTGGAAGCATGTGATCTGCTTTTTTTTTTGACTTTACAGGGGATTACAGTTAAGATATTTGCCATGAATCTCAAAAGAGACCTAGAACTTTGTAATTTTAAGCATTGCTGAGACTAGACTGTGACAGACCATGGGGACTTTTGAAGTTGGACTAAATGCATTTTGTATTATATCTGTATAGGCTTATGGGGGCCAGGTAGTGGAATGTAGTAGTTTAAATGTAATTGGCTCCCATAAGCTCATAGGGAGTGGCACTACTAGGAGGTGTGGCTTTGTTGGAGTGGGTATGGCCTTATAGGAAGAAATGTGTCACTGTGGGGGCGGGCTTGAGTTTTCCTATGCTCAAGATACCACCCAGTGCCACAGTCCACTTCCTGTTACCTTCTGATTAACATATAGCCAGCACCATGTCTGCCTGCACACTACCATGTTCCCCACCATGATAACAATGGACTGAACCTCTGAACTATAAGCCACCATCTCAGTTAAATGTTTTCCTTTAGAAGAGTTACTGTGGTCATGGTGTCTCTTCACAGAAATAGAAACCTTAAGACAACACTCAAGACAGCTTTACCACAAGTCTTTAAATATATCCCAAACCTTTAAGTAAAAGCATGGATCATACATACCCTATCTCCCTGCAAAGCCTTACCCAAACACTATCTTAATATGATAGACATTTACTACTTTTCCTACAATTATAAAATTCCATGAAAACAGGATCCATTACTGTTTTAAACTCACGATGGTGTCCCCATAGTCTTTTAGAGTTCCAAACACCAAGTATTATTAGGTGACAGCAAAAAGAAAAAGGTGTTAACATGACCCACTATTTCAGTTTAGAGATAAAGTATTACTGGAGGTTAGCTAACCTTTTAAATAATGACAAAAGTTAAAGATAACCTCTTGCCTCTCTACAATATCAGACTTTGAGTACCTAGCCTCCTACTAGTCACTTAGCAATTACAAGGAAAGTACACTTTGTATTTCATAATCCCAAACAGAAAAGAGCTATGTTTTACAAAAATAAAATACATACACATATTTTACTCATTCACTCATGGGAAGGGCATTTTGTTTTGTTTTATTTTGTTTGTTTGTTTTGAAACAGGATCTCCTGTAGCCCAGGCTGACCTTAAACCCACAATGTAGCTGAAGATGACTTTGAACTGCCTCTACCTCCTGAGTATTAAGATTACAAGTTTGTACCACCACTCAGGGCTCACACATATTATAATGGATATAAAAGCAAGTATCTTGATTATCATTTTTTACCAAAAAGCACAAACCCCTAGCTAGAGCAATGGCTCTTAACATGTGGGTCACAACCCCTCTGGGGAGGTGGGTGTCAAATGACCCTTGCCTAAGACCATTGGAAAACACAGAAATTTATATTATGATTCATAACAGCAGCAAAATTACAATTATGAAGAAGCAACAAAAATAATTTTATGGTTGGGGGGGTCACCACAACATGAGGATCTATATTAAAGGTTCACAGCATTAGAAAGGTTGAGAACCAAAAAAAAAAAAGGTTGAGTTATAAAAAATAATTTACAAAAATATAAATCCAAGTGCAAAATAGAATAATTAAAGTCAGTTTAGGAACTACTTCAAAAAAACAGCACAACCCAAAGACAGCGCCTACAGTTGTATTTCTACCCCAATATCATTTAAATGTGTAAATTTTAGCTTTTAAATAATAAACCAATGATACAACGTGTCTCTCCACAGCAATAAAACCCTAAGACAGTCAGTATTCTGCTGCTGTGAAGGGACCGTGACCATTACAACTCTTACAAAAGAAAGCCTTTGGTTGCAGCTTGCTCATAGTTCCAGAGGTTTAATTCATTGTCTTCATCGTGAGGAGCATGGCAGCAGGCAGGCAGAAATGTTACCTAAGAGTTCTACATCTGGGCTGGGCTTTGGTGGCACATGCCTTTAATCCCAGTACTTGGGAGGCAGAGGCAGGCAGATCTCTGTGAGTTCGAGGCCAGCCTGGTCTCCAGAGCGAGTGCCAGGATAGGCTCCAAAGCTACACAGAGAAACCCTGTCTCAAAAAACCAAAAAAAAAAAAAAAACAAAAAAGAGTTCTACATCTGGATCCAAAGGCAGCAGGAAGAAGAGGGTTTATGGGTTTGAAATAGGCTTTTTGAAACCTCAAGGTGTACCCCCAGTGACACACTTCCCCCAACAAGGCCATGCCTCCTAATCCCTATCAACTAGTGCCATTCCCTAATGATCAAGCATTCAAATATACGAGCCTAAGGAGAACATTCCTATTCAAACTACCGCAAGTACATTATAAATCCTGACTAAGGGGCTAGAGATGTAAGTCAGAGGTAAAGCATTTGTGCAAGGTCCTAGAATTAATTCCCATAACTTCAAAATAAAACATGACTGTGTGAACACTCTCCAAAAACCCCTCCCCTAGCTGAATCCATCTAATGTCTACATTTTCAGTTATATTTTCTTTGGATGTTTCAACAATACATATCTGGATTATAACCTTAAGTGTCAGGTAAATTACTCTGCACTTAAAGAAGACAACGTAACACTACAATATGACAATAATGATTGCCAATTATCAGGTTACTAGCCACTATAAACTGTGATAATTTGTATTATTTAATTCTCATAACAACTTTCTTTAAGTTAAAATGAGTTTCTGGGGGTTAAAATAACTCACCTAAAACCCCCAGGAGTCAGGGATATACAGAGAAACCCTATCCCCCCAAAAAACAAACAAAATTCCTCCAGCTCACACATAACAAGACCTGGATTTGAATTCACATTTGGATCTATAGAAACATTTATTAAGTGTTTAAATGAAATAGGAGACTAGTTTGTTTATTGTCCTTGCAATAAATTAACAATCAGAACAGTCTAGTCTAAACTATGCATGCCTACAATGCTGAAGTAAGAATTTCATTGCTTGAGGCTAGGTGTTCTTGGGGCTACCTTTGGCACCATAGTTAGAACCTGTAGTAGTTTGAGTAAGAATGCTCCCCATAGGCTCATATATTTGAACGCTTAGTCATCAGGGAGTGGCATTATTTGAAAAAGATTAGGAAGTATGGCCTTGTTGGTCACTGAGGGTGGGCTCTTAGTTTTCAAAGACCGTGCTAGTGTTTGTGTGTGTGTCTCTCTCTGCTTGCAGATCAGGAGTAGCTTTCAGCTACATTTCCAGCACCACACCTGCCTGCCTGCTTCAATGCTCCCCACCATGATGATAATGGACTAAGCCTCTGAAACTGTAAGCAAGGCCCCAATTAAGTGCTTTGTTTTATAAAAATAGACTTGGTCATGGTGTCTCTTCACAGCAATAGAACAATGACTAAGATAGAGCCCTATCTCTTTAAAACAAAACAAAAAGCTACTGAAAAAGGTTTGTTCCAAACCAATCCTATGTCCTCCTGGTAATACTAAAACCCATAAACTTGAAATTATGAGTGCTAAGAGGCACATAGCTATTGACGGACAACAGTAGGCACACAGTAGCCAGTACGAGGTGCAAATAATTATTTCAAGTCTTTTTATTCCACCAACAGCACCATATTCTCAAATGTGATTAATCCAACTGGTAAGGGAATGGAGATTATGCAACAATCTAGATCCTCAATTTCTACTCAAAGTCTTTTGTAATAACTCAAAAGCATGGACTAGTATTGCCAAAAACTTCACAACAAAATGCCCAGATTAGTGGCAGAGATAGTAGGGATACTAACCACACAATTTATTTTAGAATATAAGAAATCAAGATGCTAATATGATGCCCAAAAAAAAAGATACCCAAAAGATAGTTGAATATTTAAGATTTGGAATAAAGGAATAAAGGGCAAACTAAACTAGATGGCTCAGTCAATCAAGATGCTTAAGGAACAGGCATGGTTTTGTTTGAACTGAAAGAGTATTAATATATAGTAGTAAATGGAAAAACTCAGTTTGTGACATAGTATTAGCAGTGCTGAAATGTAAATTATTTACAAATAATTGTATTTGCTATCAATGACTGGACAATTTTTCAGGTAGGATTTTGGCTTTTCATGATCTACGAACTTTAGAATTTTTTTTAAAGTGATAATAAGTTCACTACCATCAAAAAGAGTTATTAATATATGTGAAATGTATTTATTAATGATGTTTTAAAAGCCTGGCCTAAGATTAGTTACCATAGATGTTTCAGCTAAGTTTCTTTAGCCTCAAAACACCTAAAATTTTATCTTCAAAATCACTTCCTCAGTATCAATTCTAAAACCCCTGTAAATAGTAGATTTTTCAATACTACTGTCAAACTAATCCGGAAGGTTAATAGTAAGATCGTCATTCTACAAAGGATACACTATCTATTTTTACGTGTTAACCGTTCTGATAAGAAGACCTGCAATAGCAGTTTCTAACTACGTTCGGTGGACTGGCAGCAGAATCAAAACCTAACTTGAGAGCAGCCAGCAGGGAACCAGTGAAATTGCTTAAAAGGGGCCCGAACTATGAAGTTTACAGGTGCTCCAAAATTCTTGCAAAAGAGAAATTTGGCATCTTCCCAAGATGACTATGCACACCTGAGACTCGCAGTTAACCAGAATGCAAACAAGAGGAACCCACGGCAACCCAAAGCAAACAGCGGCACTCACCAGCAAGCAATCTGAATTTACTTCCGACTTGGGATCCCGCAGCAGGTTGTCGATTTTTTCAAACCGAGTCTCAAAACTGTCCCCAGTCGACATGATGCTGCTAATTGTGACAATATCTTCGTACCCGCAGCGGAAAGCAAGTTCCACCGACTTCCTCG